AAGAAAGAACAGCAAAAGGCCATCTGTATGGGATCAGAACTGGTCTTGGTAGAGAGACCTTGGTAGACCTATTAGAAAATGCCAGAATTCCTAGAATCAGAAGGGTGAGAGGCTGCCTTGAAAGATGGAGGTTGCTAGGGGAGGCCCAGAGAGACAAGCTGTCATATAACTGGGGACCAGTGAATAAGTTTCTCCTTTGAATCCATTGCTTTCTTCCCCTTTCCTCTTCCTCCTCCCAGTTCTGTCGCTCTTTCCTCTGACTCTTCCTTCCCATTCTCTTCCCAGCCCGTGTTGAGGCTGCACACAGATCCTGGGGGCCTGGTCACACTGGTGTCTTTCTCCCCTTGTTCAGATTTTTAACCTTTCTTTTACCAATAACTGCTTTAGTGATCTGCTGAGACCTATGCACCCTTCTCAGAATGACTTTGGATGCGCTGAATTTTAAAATACCAAGGAAATCAATTACTTTCAAATACAATTGTCTTTGTGAGGCTTCCAACAGTCTGATAGAATGAGCGGGAAGGCTGAGCTTACACAATCAACCTCCCATGCCTCAACCCAAGACGACCCTAGAGTTGGGTGGTGAAAAATAACAGATCTTGGGTTCCTCTGGTTTCGAGAGAAATTAAAACGGCTGGACATGTTTATTCTTTACACTCCAAAGCAGTGATTTCTGAGAGTTCCAAGGGGAGGGACCGCGCGCCCCCTCGTGGCCACCGCGGGGAGCGGTACAGCCCGGCCGCCGAGGGTACTACCAAGAAAACCAAATAAAGCGCCCTGGACGCTGGGCGATGCTCAAAACCTGGAAATAGAAGCCGTGCGCCCTACAAACTGAGCTAGCAGGATGACGAAACACCGTGAGCTTCTCTTCTTCCTCCCAGCTTGGGATCAGTTGCCCAAATGTAAAATATCTGCGCCAAGACCGAAGGCCACCTCGGCGAGTTGCTGATGAAGGAAAAGGTTTGTAGAGAGTTTAATGGATTTCCTCCGGCCCAGGGCTCGTCGGCACTAAGTCACGGACCAGTCCTACTTCTGAGTTCAAGGAGGACCCGGAGTAGTGGCTAGAAACTGCTGCGCAGAGGGGAAGTCAGACGGAGGGAGCATCAACCGTACGCAATCATGATCCGCGCAGTGCCGACAAAGAGGGGGGACGGGGAGGGAAATCAAAGTTACCTAACGAAAGTAAGCATTTTCCTTTTTCTTTTGACCTTTATCTTCAGTAGCCAGAGCCTCGCTCGCTCTCTCCCTGCCCCTCACAGGGCTGCCCGCCCCCTCACCTCCCCTCGCTTTCTTCTCTTCTTTAGCATTCCCAGTTCAGCCTCCTAGGACGGGCGACTGAGGCTGCATCGCTGTGCAGGGTTGGGAGCTCAGTTCCGTCCCAGTGCGCGCGTGTCCCAAGTCGGGACTTTGCCTTCTTCCCAATCAGCTCCGGGAATAAAAGCGTGCCTGGCTTGGAGACTTTTCCCGTCTTCTCATTCCGGAGTTCCTCGTAGGCGTTAAAGCTTAAAAGCGCGCACTGGAATTCTTGGTTGCCCTAGGACCCTGCGGCAGAATGCATCCTTCACCCGACATTTGTTGAGTGCTCCTCGGTGCAAGGCCCTACCCCAGAGGACAGGCTGCATCGCGAGCAATTCCCGGGTCCTGCGGCTTGGAGGCCACATCTAGGGGCAGAGAGCATGGGCAGCGCAGTGGGGCCTCGCCGTGAGCGCCGCGGGGGAAGCGGAGCTGGGGATGGGGAAGTGGAATGACTTCAGCCCGAGAGGCTGCGGGCGTCGCCAGGAGTTGGGCGGCTGCTGAGGCGGGCCGGAGCAGGTGGGAAGGCTGTGGATAGTCGCCCAAGCTGACTCCCAGACGTTCTATCAATGTCCAAATGTGCCCAACGGCACCAGCTCTTGGCCTCAGTGTCTCCCGCGCAAACCCTCAGTTTCCGGGAGTACGAGAATCTGAAGGTGTCCACAGCCAGAGACTGAAAAGCAATTCTGGGATCAGGAAATGAGTTTTGAGAAAGGAGTTTCCATGTCTCTGTGGCGCAATCGGTTAGCGCGTTCGGCTGTTAACCGAAAGGTTGGTGGTTCGAGCCCACCCAGGGACGTCGCGTTTTACTTCATCAAAGTCCTCTACGTTATCTGTTAGTCACCTCTCACAGTTCTGGCGAATACAAAGTCCAAGATCGAGGTGCTGACAGATTCAGTTCTTGGTGAGGGCCTTCTTTCTGGTTTGCAGAAGACCTCCTTCTCACTGTATCCTCTGTATGCATGGCAGAGAAAGGAAACTCTGGCATCTCTTCTGTTTTCATAAGAACACTAACCCCTTCATGGGGGCTTCACCTGCAGGAACTCATCTAAGCCTAATTACCTGCCAAAGGCTCCCCCTCCTAACACCATTGCACTGGGGAGTTAGGGCTTCAACATGTGAATTTGAGAGGGACACACTCAGTGAGTAACAGGTGGTAGCAGAGACATTCCTCAAGCATCTAAAATGCCTGCACAGCGACCAGCTACACAGAGCTCGGAACAGCCACGTGAAGGTGGCAGAGGACTCGTCCTGCAGTTCTTTCCCCTCTTCCCCCGGAGGGATTATGCGTTTGTGTGTGTGTGAATAGAAAAATCAAGGGCTTATAGAAAGGCACACGTATTGAGAAAATTCTAACCTCTCCTGCTCAAGCTCCCAGTTCCCAAAGGCCAAACAAATACTAACAATTTTATTTTTAATAAAATAAAACAATTTTATTTTTTAATGTAGTCAACAAGCCTGACTTTATTACTTTTATACCAAAGGAGTCACCTATTTTGTAAGTATATATTAAGAACTATTACTTCAGGCAAGCCAGGTTATATTCACCTGCTGTAACTCAGACTTGACTATAGGATGCTGAAGCCACAGGGCAGGCCATTAACCTACAATCGCAGCCTTTCCTCTGAGAGCTTGGGTAACAATCTCTATGAACTTCTTAAAGCATCATGATCCAGAGGTTCCACAGATTTTCTTTTTTTTTTCTTCCCTTCCCTGCTTGTCTGTTCTGAGCTAGAAGCTCACATATATTAAACCAAAAAGCTAAAACAAAATGAAAAGAAAAAAATCAAACCCCCCTGCATTTTGAAATGCCAATCACATTACCAGTATTTTTGTGGAAAGAGACTCCAACTATGATATGAAAAAACAGCTACAGAACTTTGTTTTAATGAAGTTGGAAAGCTCTGACAAGGAAATAATGTTCTGGCAAACAATGATTGGAGGAAAATTTAACCTTCGGGAAAAAAGAAAAACAAAACCTAGAAAAAATTAACCTATAATGATCAGAGGGAAAGACTGAACCAAACATATACATACATACATACATATCTTCAGTTCAGATATCATACAGGTCTAAAGACAACAAACAAATATTCTCAAATAAATGAAAGAATTCAGGAAATACAAAACTTTTTTTTTGGAAAAACCTATCTCACCAAAATGCAGCTAACAAGGAGATGATTTCACCATAAAAATCTCAGGAATGAGAGAACTGTACAACACAAAGCATGAACCCTAATGTAAACTATGGACTTTAGTTAGTAAAATGAGTCAATATTGTTTCATCAGTTGTAACAAATGTACCACACCCATGCAAGACGTAATAAGAGGGGGAGCAGTGCTGGGGGAGGGGAGGGAGTGTATGGGAACTCTCTGTACCATGTCCTGTTTCAGTTTTTCTGTAAACCTGAAACTGCTCTAATAAATAAAGTCTATTGATTTATTTTTTAATCTCAAGAATGAAAAGACCATATTTCTGGGTATTCTGCACTTGTCCTTCCAGATACAGTCTCACCATTTTCCGACATATCATGTGCCCAAGAAAGTTAATCTTTATGAACTGCGCAAAAGGGCTCCTCTGCCCACTGGCTTCCTGTTGGCTGCAGCCAAAGAGATGCACTGACTGGGAACGGGAGGCTGAGAGGAGTATGAGATACGAGGTCAGGGCAAGTTGCAGCCTTAGTTACAACTGTCACTTTCCAAGGTTCCAGAAGCAGCTCTCTCGCCTTGCCCAAGTAATTGCACAGGCCAAGTGATCTCTCCACTCTCACTAGCCCTGGGCTCAGTGGCTACATTCCCCTCTTAGAGCCCAGAAATTCTGAGTTGGGAGATCCCACAAAACCCCCTCAATCCTCAGCAGATCTGGGCTTCAGAGAGCCTTAGGGAATGTGCCACAGAGTTATCTGGGGGCTCATTGTATCTCTACTCAGCTCATTAGCAGAAGAATAATTACATATTTCTTCCTTCAAAAATACCCCTAATAAAATGTTTACAGTCTTGTAGGTAGAATTCTTTCTAAGCATGAAATAAAACTCAAAATGCCCAAGGGAAAAGATTAATACATTTAACCACATTAAAAGTTTAAGAATTTGCTTAGCTGAAAAAACAAAACAAAACAAAACAAAAACACTCAGCATCAGGCAAAGCCAAGGCCTGGGTGATTCAGCCCATAAAGATATAACGAGCCACTTTAGACTCAGGTTTCTTACTTACACAGACAACACAAGGAAGAGCAGCTGAAGGGACAGATGTCCTGGGTGCCATCCCACACATGCAAAGGGATGACCCTGAAACCAACGGGTCAGTGACTGCAGTGCAAGTTGTGGGACACCCTGTTACTGAGAAGCCAGTTCTAGACTGCAGCTAAGTGGTCTTACAGCCTGCAGCTCTATTTCCGGGAGGGGTGAGGAGGAGCAGAGTGCCTCATATGCCATTAGAACCTGGAAGGCAATGGGAAACTGTTCCAGGGAGGAGAATGGCAATGGGCCTCCTGGACACTCTTCACAAGCCGCCCACCCTCTCCTGTTGTGCGGCAGTCACACAGGGCTCTGCCTGGGGTTAAGATTCGGAACAGTTTCAGTTCAAGACTTCGCCTGTGTCGCCTACTTACAAGGCCATCCAGGTGCCACAGCAGAGCCACACCCCCACAAAATTCAAAAGACAACAAACTGATAGAATCCTTGAAAAACTACAACATACAAAAGGCATATTTTATGTAGTATTTATTTTTAGCTAGCTTAAATATGCACATGGGTTAGAGAGTCAAACACTCTTACAGACCCTATAATAAAAACCAACAGTTTCCTGAAACCCTCCCCCAATTTCTGCTCACTAGAAGTAACAACTTTTGAACTCTTTTAATTAGCAATTGGTTATTTACCTCTTTCTCTGTAAACAAGTATTGTTAATTCCTAATTCTCAGGTTATTACACTTTTAAAAAGATCTGTCTTTTACACATTCCGCCTCCAATTACTACTAAACACACGTACACACACATTTTCCATTCCTTTGTTTTCTCAATTGTGATGGTTATTTCATGTGTCAACCTGATTAGGCTGTGTACACAGATATTTGGTCAAACATCTGTCTAGCTGTTCCTGTGAAGGTATTTTTGATGAGATTAACATTTAAATCAGTAGGGGTGGGTGGGTAATAGCTCAGGGGTAAAGGCATGCATGCTCTAGGCCCTGCGTTCAATCCCCAGTATCTCCATTAAAAATTAAATCAGTAGACTTGGAGTAAAGCAGATTACCTTCCATAATGTGGGTGGGCTCCATCCAATGCACTGAAGGTCTTAAGAGAAAAAGACCAAGGTCCCCAGAGGAAGAGGGAATTCTGCCTCCAGACTCTGCTTTCAGATTAGAGTTACAGCATCACTTCTTCCCTGCGTCTGCAGCCTGTTGGCCTAACCTGAAGATTCTGGGTTTACCAGCCTCCACAATCACATGCGCCAATTCTTTATAATAAATCTCTGCATACATATGTGTGTATCTTCTATTGGTTTTGTTTCTCTGGAGAACCCTAATACATCAATATACTTATATCATAATTTTGATGAGATCAATTATCATTATTTTTAATATATAAACTATTAATAGAGATCACTTTTTGAATATATATATTTCCCTTGGCAATAATAAGTTATCTGACTTTTCCATTTGCTTAATTTTCCATGCTTTTATTACTGAATTATAAACAATTCTATAAATCTCCTCTCAAGTGCTTCCTCATTCTTTTTTACAGCTAGCTGAACTATCTGTAATCATATGGTTGTATTATAATTTATTTCGTCACTCCTAAAACTGATGGACATTTAGAGTTTCCAATCTTTTGCTCAACAAAAAAAAAATGCTCCATGAATAACTTTGCACATGCTTAATTTCACACATATGTAGTTATGTTCTTACACCTTATATGTTGAATAAACCTGATACCTTATATGTAGGATACTTTATACCATCTGCCTTGTATGTAGGATAACCTTCTATACGTGGGTTGCTGAAGTTTAAAATAAAGTTTATTTAAATTTTTTATAGATATTGTTCAAAAAGCACCCTGGAGAACTCGTATCAATTTAACAATACCGCATACCTCTCATTAACAATATTTATTAACTCTCCAAAATATTAAACTTTTAAAAAATTTACCATTTCTTATAGCTGAAAAATGTTATTTCAACTTAGTTTTAAATTGTATTGTTTTCATTAATAACAATGTTTAATGTTAAATACTTTCTCTTATGGACAAGAGTCTTATGTTTTCTATTCTTTCTATATTTGCTGCTTTTATTGTGTTGTTGGTTTATTTCTCATTGGCTTATAATTCTGTAAATATTAGGGAAATTAGCCTTTTGTATATGGTGTGTGGTCTAAGAAAGGAGACGTTGAGTACGGTGTGGTGAAGTTGGTGCGGCCACAGGAAGGGAAGAGACCCGGAAGAGATGTTCATTATACGCACAGGTCCCAGAGAGGAGGTCACCGCAGGAGCACGCAGGGCCACGCATGAGTCCCACTGTTTCCGAATCTTGGCCTCTGTGCCCCAACACCAAACTGAAATCTGAAAGACAGAGTTTTGGGTGAAGCAGAAAAGAACAGTTTAATTTTTTGCCGGCAAAGCGGGTCCCAGCAGGCTAATGCCTCAAGCCTGCAAGCCCGATCTGGGGAGGGGTAGCAGGCAGTTGTACAGCGAGGGTCCAAGGAGCAGAGCTTCTGTGAACATGCACTGGCATCAAGAAAATCTGGGGACGGGGCCTCCTGTTTCTGTGGTTATCGGATCACGTCCTCCTCCTCCAATGGGCCTCGGTCTGGTTCTTGTCTTCTGTACCAGGAATTAATGAGTCATATCTCCAGACACTTCTGCGCCTGAAACAAAGTGTGATTAAGGGGAAGGGTGAGTGCTCTAAGGGAGAACTACAGCAGAGGATCTGGGGGAGCAGTCTGTCCCAGGAAGACCACTAGCAGCGTGTTCAACTGAACAGGTGGAGAGCAGTGAGAGCCACAACCTGTGGGCTGAAGCCTTAACTGGGGTCCTGAGTGGCATCTAAGGAAAACAAACCAAGGTGGGGAAAGAGAGGAAGAGAAGAGGGAGGAGGGAGAGGGAAGAAAAAGAGGAAGAGGAGGGGAAAATTAGAGTCAGGCGTTAGGTTGCTCATCAAGGAGTTTCAGCTGTTTTTGAGTGTGAGGTCACAATTAGGGCAGTGCACCAAAAGCATGCACCAAAGCATGAACTCAATATGGAGGATTTTTGACACAGTGTGAGTTGCAAATATTTCCCCAAATTTGTGATTTGTCTTTGAACTTTGCTTATGCAGATTCCATTTGATTTATATAGTCAAATTCATCAATATTTTCTCTCAGGACTTCTGAGTTTGTGCCATAGTTAGAACAGCTTTTTACACACACACGCACACACACACATACCCACACACCAAGATAATAAAATAATTGTTTCATGTTTCTACAAGAACTTGTATGTTTCTTTTCATTACTATTTAAATCTTTGTTCAATTTGGTATTTACCCTTATGTAAAGGGTAATATTCATTGACCATTATTTTTTCCCAGCTATCTTGTTATTGAAAAACTGTTCATTAGAATTATTGATTTGAATCTCTCTTTCTAATATATTACTTTCATTATGTATTTTGGTCTATTTCCAGACTCTATGCTGTCCCATTGATTGCTGTCTATTCATACATGATATTTTACTGTTTTAGTTATTATAACTTATGGCACTTTTGTATTTCAGAGTTAATCTTTCCTTAGTATTCTAAAAAAAGAATTTCTCTTAATATTATTGCTTATTCTCCCATTTAAACCTTAGAATTATATTGTCCAGTTTGAATAAAAAAAGAATCTTTAAAAATATTTTTGTGAAAACTGTGTTAAATTCAGACACCAAGTTAAGGAGAGACTACCTTTATGACGCTGTGTCTCCTATCCAAGAACATGATACCTCCTGGTTGATAGGAAAGGAAGCTGCCCTAATGCAGTGAGCCCAAGCATTTACCCAAATCACCTGGACAGCTTAAGTCTGACTGTTGGGCTCACCTCCGGAGTTTCTGACTCAGTAGATCTGAGGTGCAGCTTGAGAATTTGCATTTCTCAAGTTCTCAGGTGACCCTGATGATGTCTGTCCTGGCACCACACCTTAAGAATAATTGGCTGGTGGATTGATCATCTTGAAGATGGTTGGTGGGATACATAAAGGAGACTAAAGCGTATTTACAAACTTAAAAAAAAAGTAGAATTGGTAAATGATCTTGAGTGAGAGGAGGGAAAGATCTGCGTGAGGAGTTAAAAAGGGAAGTCCACGTTGTGGTGGAGAAGCCTGTTGACTGGTGCCAAACTTGGCTTCCACTCACCTTGCAAACCAACTTAACTCACCCCACCCATCCCAATACTGAATAGATTCAGCAGGAACAAATGTAAGGAAAACAACTCAGGCTTCCAGGGTAAAACAAAGTTCTCCGGTAGATCAATAACTAACTCAAAACGCGCCGGCGCAGCGCTCCTGGGAGACCGCCCGTACCGGTGCGAGGACACTGCCGCGCAAACTCCCCACTGCGGGCTCCCGGCCTTGGTCCTTGTTTTCCGCTTCCCTTACCCTGCTTCCGCTTCCCTTTGCTCTTCTGCGTCCCTCCTCCGCCAGCCCAGCTCTTTTTCCAGGTCCCTCTCCTCTGTTTCGCTTAGAGGCCTTCCTAAACGAGTTGTATTCTACAGCACTTTGTGGCTGAAGAACATTTCAAAACCTGAAAAGCAAAAGTATGCTCCTTAGCACCTAGTGGAGGACATTTTAACTAGCTAAGAAAGCACTTCGAAACCTCATCCATAATTACCCATCGAAGAGAATGAAAAGTGTTCCATCGTGTCCTGTCCTAAGGCGTCTTATCGGTGGAGCAGAGTCTGGGCAGGTCGGAGCGGGGAGCCCCCGCGGGTCCTGGATTCAGCCCGCGGAGAAGCCCGGGTCCGGGTGGCAGTGGGTCCGGGATCCCTGGTCTCAACAACTTGAGATGCTGGAATCGGTAGCCCGGATTCCTCTTTTTTGCTGAATTTGGGGCGAATGGAGGCGATTTCTGGAATAATTTACCGAAGTTTAAAACAACAGTGGCTTCAATGGCTATTCAGAAGCTATTCAGTTGGTAGCTTAATACAGAAGATTCAATGAAAACGGATACAGGGAGAAAAAAAACAGACCGCCCAACGTGGGGCTCGAACCCACGACCCTGAGATTAAGAGTCTCATGCTCTACCGACTGAGCTAGCCGGGCGCCGGTGACAAGTTTCTTCCTACATAAATACAGTTTCTTGCAAGGGACAGTGTACAAGACCTAGTTATCAACTGGTAAGTTTGAAAGAATTCTTGGGATTTACCATCTTGTGAAAACAACAGCAGTCTTTTACCACGGAAGAACTCGAGACTCCGAGAGTGACGGGACTCCGCAGGGCCAGGTGGGCTTGTAGAGGACATACAAGAATCACGAGTCCTGAAACCTTGACGTGTCCACATATTCCTTCTGTACAGGAGAACCCGGTTTCTGGGGCCCAGAATCCTGAAGAGGAGGCGGAAAAAACGCGAGGGAACGGGGATGAGAGTCGCAAACAGCCGCGGGAAGTAGGAGGGGCGCCGGGACTTGGGCTCCTGGGACGTTGGGGCTGGGCTTCCTTCTTGCTTCGAAACCTTTTCTCCCCTAAACCTTGACGACCAGGGAGTGGGGCTGAGGAACCGCGTCCCTTGGAAAGTAGGTCCAATTTACTATTCATTTGGAGCACGATTTAGCTTTTAAATACTAAAATTTTGTGTGACAAAAGTAAAAGACCGTATTTATCATACGTAAAGGCCCCACTGAGATTTAAACTCGGGTGGGATTCAGAGCCTCAGGCGGAAGCGCTCGCGGATTAACTCCACTCTTCTGAGTGTTCACTTCTCCAGCCCCTGGAAGAGGCATTGACTTCTGGAGTCGTCAGCAAAGGGCTCACTCCTCTGCGCAGGTGAAGCCCTTGGTCGGAGCTCCGAGGCGCTTCATACCGCTCTGTAGCGTCTCTGCCAGGAATGGTTAGAGTCGCATAGGTCGTCAAGCCTCCGAGTGACCTGAGTGGAGATAATTATTCTGCATTTCTGTGATGCAGCCTTGAGGAAAAGCAGAGTTGCAAGCTCTTAATTTTAAAAAAGATTATGAAAATAAAAAGAGATGAATAAAATGCAAACCTCCAAGGCAAGGTACAACTACGTGCCGTGACTCGGATTCGAACCGAGGTTGCTGCGGCCACAACGCAGAGTACTAACCACTATACGATCACGGCGCGCCACCCGCGAGGCGGCGCAATGCACTTGGAATTAATGTCTTTTGAAGCAGGGACGTCTACCTCGTGCTGCGGCTTTCTTTGCCCGGTTTACGTGATTCGCATAGGTTAAAATGCCAAACATTGCCTCTCCACAATCTCGAAGCCCTGACACCCAAATCTGGGTCTCAGAATTCCGTGCATGGTGCCAGTGCCAGCATCGACCCCTCCGCTGGACCACGGCACTCCCAGGTCCTGGCTTGAGCGTCGCCTGCAGGCCGGAGACCGCATCCCCAGTCTCCCTCCTCTTGTCACTTCTCTTCAAGGAATCAAGCCGCCCTGCCTAGGCAGCCCCAGAGTATTTTCCTATTACTTCTCCAACTTGTACCCTGGAATTGAGGTTTCTGCCCCCGGAATGGTGGAACCGTACGAGAAGCGGAGCTGGTGAACTGGGAAAGGGCTTGAGGTTACCCTCTCCACACGCCCCACCCCCAGTTTTTCTTTTTTTTTTTTTTGTTCTTCCCTTGCTCTCTCTCAGGAACTCTTTGGGCTAACTTCCTTATTCTGAGTTTTCTGTAAATCTGAGCTCCGCCCCTCCTCTCCCGAGTATTCAGAAAAATAAATCCGACGAGCCTCCGTTTCACATAAATTCTCAAAGACCCCAAAAGGATAATTACTGTAACCGGTGCGAAGCAAGCGGCCAAACTCAGCACACGGGCTTCTCTTGGTGGGGTCCAGCTACAAGAAACATGGGGTTTCGCTCTCGGTACAGTCTCCTCGAGGGCTCGGGAGTCTCAGAACGAAAAGCTTTTGCCAGCTCCCCTACTAATGGTCTACTCAAAGTCTCGAGAAAAGAAGAAGACAGTGTCAATGCGTTGGCCGGGAATCGAACCCGGGTCAACTGCTTGGAAGGCAGCTATGCTCACCACTATACCACCAACGCATGCAGCAAGCGAGTCCCCGATGCTTCCTTATGAGTAGTTTTTGACGTTTTGGTCTTAAAATTTCTTTCAGATTTTGGGATTTATGTTGAAACTTCAACACCAAACCAAAGGACGAAGAGGAAAAGAAGGTCTTTAGGATTTCTCCTATGATCCTACTGAAAATTCCGTGGTAGTTTCTTACTATCTCTGAGGTTTAAGGAAAGTCAATTCTACTTCATCTACTGCCGTTTAAAAGGGGCCTCTGAAATCCAGTAGACGAGTTAAGGCCTTAATGAGGAAGTTAACCTCTTTATGCTGAGGAAACACTCTCAAATATGTAATGGTATGTTGCGCATCCATATCGTTACGCATTTGAGAGTGTTCCTCAACACAAATGCATAAAGATAAAGTTGCAATTGAAAAGATACATACATTTTAAAGTTTTGGATACATACTGCCAAATTGCTGTGTGTCACCAATTTGGATACATATTGCCAAATTGCTGTGTGTCACCAATTTTCTTTGCAGTGAATATTACCAAATTACATCAGTTAACTAGATATCATCATTCTTTTTATCTTTACGAAAAGGCAGCACAAAAATCTGGAGTCTCTTTTTAATTTGCATTTATTCTATTACTATTGAGGTGGATCATTTTTCATAAACTTACTAATTATTTGTATTAGTTTTGAGACCAAGTCTTATATTTTGTCTATTTTTCCTATTGGGTAATTATATCATATGTATATTACTGATTTATAACAGTTTTTCATTTGTTTTTTAATATTATTTATAGGATTTGCAGATGGGCAGTTTTCTGTTTTTCTGTGGTCAAACCTGTCAGTTTTATCCCTTATGGTTTCTGCCTTTGCTTTTACCTTGAAAAAGTTTTCTCCAGCCCAATATTAAAATAATTATCCTCTAATTTTTAATTATTTCAGTTCTTACATTTAATTCTTTAACCCATTTAATATAAGATATGAAGTGGTAATTCCACATCTATGAGTTTATCCTAAAGCAATTATCTAAGGCTCTACACAAAGATGTATTTACACAGATACTCATCGAAGTGTTATTTGTAAAACCAAAATTTTAGGAGGGAAAAAGTGAAAGTCCAGAAATGTGATTGATCAACTCCATTTTGATGAAAAACCACGACTTTTTATTTTTTAATTATATTTATATGTACATTGTTGGTGGGAGTGTAAATTGGAACGACCTCTAAGGAGGTATATTGGTACTACACCTCCACATATGCACATACCTTTTGAATCAGCATTTCAATTCTTAGACATTTATTCCACACACGTGCAAAATGACATATATAGGAGATTATTTACAGCAGCATTGTTTGTAATAGCAAAGGATTAGAATAACCTGTCATCAGTAGGAAGCCGGCTCTGTTAATTATGGACTATCAGTACAATGGAATACTATGTGCCATAAAACAGAATGAGGAAGCTCTGTCTAATCTAGAACTATTTCCAAAATATATTATTAAGTGAAAAAGGCAAAGTTTAGGAAAATGTGTACGGATTGCTATCATAAATGTTGGGGTGGGGGGATGGGGAGCGTTCTTAAAATGTATACATACGTACACATGTACTTGTATTTGCGTAAAATATTTACAATATAATTACAAACCTTAACACTGGCTGCCTTATTAAAAGAAAACTAGACGGTGGAGGTGAAAATTAGGTTTATCAGCTATGCTCTTTTGCATATTTGAATCCTAAAAACCTAAATATATTACCTATTTAAAAAATTAAATAATTAAATTGAAAGAAAATATGTTGCTGAAGTACACTTCTTTCCACCACAAAGTGTTAAAAACATATTAACTTTAAAAATAGCTGGTAATAATCAACTATACTTCAATTTTAAAAAATTTTAAAATCTGCTAATGAAAAAATAGCTGAGAGTAAAACAGTATGTATACCGTTCTATTTTCTGTTTCAAAAACTGGGTAACAGAATTCTTTGATGTTAATTTCGTCTTTCGGGCATATCTGGTAAATTGCAGTCAAATGCTAGGTTTCAAGTCACTTGAAATAAATTTATTTTTCTTTCTGACCAAAAACAAACAAAAAAACCAAAAAAATACTGGGTAACAGTTTTCGATGGGTGGTAGAATTATCAGCGATTTTTTCTTTGTGTTTTTCTGCATTGCCTGTGTTTCAGCTGCGGTCTCCCATGTGGGATTTGACTGGAAAAACAAAAAGTTAGTCATCAAAAGAGGAGAAAATTAGAAAAACACTCTTCCCTGACCGGGAATCGAACCCGGGCCGCGGCGGTGAGAGCGCCGAATCCTAACCACTAGACCACCAGGGAGGGTAGTGAAAGGCTTCGTTAGACAATATATGAGTCTAATTGAAGTGCGTTGCCTTTTGGCGCCTGTTATTACGTCAATTACGTAGATTTTTCGGAGTTTTGAATACTGGACCTTATCCACATTGACACTACTTCATCTTCGTATTTCCTTTTTGGAGCAGAAAACGCTTGAGAGAACTCCCAAGCATGGCTCCCAGAGCTGAGGAAGGATCGTGCACACAAGATCAGAGTTCCCAAGACCAGGGACAAATGTCCGGAGAAAAGAACGAAAGACTGAGAAAGAGAACTCTCAGCTTCATTGTAGTTGTAGTGATTTCCCGAATTGCGATCCGCAGAAAAGAAAATGTCTCCAGCTGGGCTTTGGCAGGTTAATCATGAACTTTTCCTGAAAGCCATCCTGTGAGAAACGCTAGGAGCTCCTAGTCCAGGGGCAGGTTTTGTTGTTGTTGTTGATGTTTGATGTTGTTTGTTTGTGTTGTTTATTTCCCATTTTGTGTGACTAGACCATACTCTGTTGGCCAAAACGAATATTACATTACACACAAGTGAAAATCACTCAGTCTATGGGCGCTCGGTGTTCAGCAGGATTGGGGCATAACTCTCTCGTGGGAGACTAAGAGAAAGGCAGAATTTGGGAGCTTCAAATTTTATAACTACGAAGAAGGAAGAGGAGGAAGGAGAAAGAAATGAAAACGGGGCTGCATACCCAGACTGAAAGAACTTTTAAAACCATACCCATAAATATATACAAATTACCTTTCCTGAGACAAAAAGAAAGCAAATATGGCAAAAGGTTAACAACGAATCTAGGTGAAGGGTAATTAAATGTTCATTATTTTACACTTTCAACTTTCAGTAGGTTTGAAATTTTTCAAAATAAAAATTGGAGAAAACCAAAAATGAAACAATCAAAAGCCTCCCCTCAGGCCTTTTTGGTCAAATCACTGCAGTGTGATTAACTCTACATGAGTTCAAATAGAAATTTTAAAAAGCAACCCTCATGCACTAACATCAGAAAAAATCTTTGATAATAAATGAAAAAGACTTAAAAATTGAATCATCAATGATGTGTACACAGCAGGGCCTGACAGAAAAACTGCGTGGTAGGATACGGGGTGTTTGTGGGATTTCTTTGTTGCTTTGTTTTGCTTTTAAAGTATCAATGTTAAAGTGTCGTTTAAAGAAAATATTAGTCCTCCAGTCATCCAATCTCCACCTTCCTATATAGGTTTAAATGCCAGAAATTAGAGAGAAGACTAACCAAATGCTAGGTATTTATTTTCACAAAAAATAAGTAATCCTGTTGTCACATGTTACCAAGGAGCCTAACAAAGCCCACTTACTTTTACTCCAGCTCTTTTCCCACTAGGCAGCTACCTGTACTCCAAGGCTGAAAAAAAATGTCTAACCCTCAGAGCAAAAATTTGAGATTGTATCTGGGGTGGGTGCAAGATAATAGATTGTATTTCTCTGTGTCACAAAGGAAATCAGCCTCCTTGTTTTGGTCAGAAGTCCATTTTCATCAATTACTATGCCA